ATTTGTAGGCTGACAATGGGGGTGAGTTCCATAGAGCAGTGATGCCACCCATTGATCTAGGCATTGTTGGCAAGGGAGAGAATTTCCCACAAATAGCCACAGCAGCACATTTACATAGAGGAGCCGAAGCTTTGCGATCACATGAAAAATGTATTCAGGGCAATAGAAAGACCACATTTAAAGCTGGTTTATTATTTAGCCTTTCCTTCTACGTAAGACTACTCCAGGGGACAGCGGTGAACGCACCCAGCCATCAGAAATGCCAGTTATAACATGCAGAAATAACTTACAGCAACCTTGATATAGTAGATAACTTCACATGTGCATCAGTTGTCAAGCTAGTCGCATGCAAAACAGCATCGGATCCTGGTGTTACAGATGGCAGGAAGATTTCTATCTATAGTTTTCTCTAAGCTTACACCTTGCATAATGTATTTTTTTTAAGAAAACCACTGTCATCCTCTGGGCTGAATGAAAAAAAAAAAAAAAAAAAAACCTACCAGATTCAACCATCCAGTGCAGATGAACAAGTCTACTGCTGCGCCTGTTGTATTTTGGCAGCTAGCCACGTAGACTTGGGGATTCATGGAGCATTCATACTTGTCTGTTTTGGCCAGATGCATTTTCCATTGAAATCAATTGATACAAATCAAAGTGAATGTTGCAATGAATGTGGACACTCCAAAAGAATGTGCATTGCCAAAAATGGACACGTATGAATGGGCCCTGCATAGGAAAACCTGAGCCACTAGAATTCCATGTGTGATTCAGCCTAACATTAACCTGAAACACCCACCCAAATTTAAAGGTGATCATAAAGAGAACAAATTTTGGCCTGTTCCTGATGAACAGGCCAACATTTACTCTATGGGTGGCCCTGTCAGTACCCTCTTACCTGACATCGAAGATGCTGAAGATAACATGGAGGATGCTGTGCTGAAGATGGTCAGCCAAACAGCACCTGCATTAAATCAAATGTAGACAGTTCAAGGTATTTGACAGCAGGTGGCACTGGCTGTCAAAATACTAAAGATGCAGCAAGAGATTTGTCCATCCATGCAGTCTGTATGATCAGCTAAAATGTGTGCAGGAGCTGACATTTTCATTGCAATTCACTAATAATCTATCATCAGCTAATATAATCTAAAACATCTAGATGTCTTCTTCGGACCATACAAGGGAACCTTTACTTACAGCATGGGTGCTCAACCTGTGGCTCTCCAGCTGTTGCGGAACTACAAGTTCCATGAGACATTGCAAGCCACTGACAGTTACAAGCATGACTACCAAAGGCAGAGGCATGATAGGACTTGAATCCACAATACAAGTAGCCGGCAACTCGGAAAGCTTCTTAATGGAAATATTTTTTGATTACATAAATACAGGATCCATGAACTGACGCGTTTTGGCTTCAAAAAGCCTTAGTCATAGAATAGCATTCCTGCTATGAATAAGGCTTTGACGTCGAAATTAGTCAGTTTTATGGATCCTGTATTTTATGTAACCAATAAAGATTTCTATTAAGAAGCTTTTCGAGTTGCCAGCTACTTGTATTGTGGATATTTGCTGTGAAGAGTGGACGCCTTAGCCAGTGCACCGGTCTCGTCTCCATGTAGTGAATAGAGCAGTTGAGCTTGGGTAAGATTTGTTTTTATATATGATAGGATTTGTAGTTCTGCAAAAGCTTGAGGGCCACAGGTTGAGCACCCATGACTTACACTGCGTATTCCAAAAAGGTAATATTTAAAATGCACCTGTTTCTGGACTATGGACTTTATTGTATTTATTATTAATAAGCAGTTTAAAAAAAAAAAACAAAAAACACACTCAGCATCAAACTTTCCATGTATTTTATGGGCTGTTCACATGAGTACTCAGATACCTGTAGCTTGACGCCTGACATTCCAAAGAGTACACAAGATACTTTTGAGGCAGAATTGGGTGAATTGAATAGGAATGCGTAATAACCTCCTCCCCCTAGTGCTTGGCATTGTCTTAAACAAAACAGCTGAAGCCTGAATATTCATGTAGAACGCTTCATATAGGCTTCTAAAGTGCTAATATAAGCATGCAAAAACACTACAAAAGGTAAGTCTGGAAAATCTCTCTGCTCAGGTGTGAATGAAACCTAAAATGAGGCGTCACTGAGCACTGTAGGTGAAGGTACTGCGGAGTAATACATTGAACAAATGTGCGGCAGAAGCACTGAAGTCTAGTTTTCAGTCATATTTCTAACAGCTTACACTACCTGGTGTTCGTTTACATTGGAAGTCTGACAGACAAGTTAGAGAATAAGGGGAGAGGAGCTGAGATTTCACAGTTTCTGTTTTGAACTTTGAAGATGAATTTCTCCATAGTGCCTGCTAAAGTGTGGTCACTGAGGCCATAAGAGCATTAAAACACTTTATACTCCATAGTCTGGGTACAGGTGCACTTTAAGCAGAACAAATAAAGCAGCAAAACCCCATAGGTAAGTGTAGGCAAGGAAATACAGATAGTAAAGAAATACATAGAGTTGTTGTTTTTTTTACATAGCAACAACTTTATATCAGAGAAGGTCGCAGACAGAGGCTATACATACACTGCTCTCATCCTTTCCTGTCTTGAGACCGTAATTGTAAGAAATCATAAATGCATGCATGCAAAAAAAAAACAAGAGATCTCTGCATGTCTTACATGCTCTTCTGTCTTCAAAGGCTAATATATAACATGGAACCATGTGCGCCCCCCTCATGACAGCGTGTGGGGGTTCTTATCCATGCAGAAGCTGTCACTTTTGAAACTGTGTGGCTGTGGAGAGCTTTGCCCATACCGTCACCTCATTCATGTAAAGAGATCTGTGAGTGAATGAACTGTGAGTCCTGTCTGCGATCCAGTGATGTGATGTCAGTTGCAAAGCCTTACAGGTTCATATGCAATAATACAATTACACTTTTTGCTACAAATATTTGTGCATTTATTTTTTTTTTTCCCACACAGTGGACTTAGGCTAGGTTCACAGTGGTGTAGGTGCGGGACGGTGCGCAAACTGCACCAATTTCCCCACCTGCAACTAAAACGTTCTGCTTTTTTGCAGACCCACAGGGCTGCCATACATTCTTAATGGCACCCCCAAGCATCTGAAAAACACAGTGCCATGTGATTTCCCTGCAGCTGCACTTTTTAAAAAAGGTGCAGAGACCCTTTCCCTGCATTTCCCTCAGGTACAGCAGCCCATCCAAATGAAGGAGCTGCTGTGCCTATGCTTCCAGGAGCTGCATCAAATGCATAGGTGTGAACCTAACATAAGCCTTTAATCCAGTTCACACCAACAATGCAATTAAATAGAGATGGCACCTGACAAGAATAAAGATTTAGTAGGCTATTCTGTGGCAATATATGAAGACCTGCAAATCTACCCGACCAAAGATCAAGTTAAAGCAGAAAGTCTGCAAACACTGACCTATGATCCAGTGATGCAATGTCCACAAGCTCCCTGACTGGCATCTTCTTAATGGCTCCTTTGGCTGTATTTATTGGCCGGTGGAGGAATAATGAAACTCCCATACATGTGCACGGTAGTTCATTCATTCCAGCCCCAAGGTGCGCCAAGAATGTACCTTTAAATAATGGCTGAAGTAAACAGTGAATATAACGGACTCAAAATAGTCATGTGATGGTATACACACAAATGGAGTGTTACCTTCACATATCATCACAAAGAGATTAAGGAAACCAACCTTTAGAGCAATGTTTTGTTTACCTACTCACTTTGGAGTATTAAAGGCAGTGCAAGACATAATCAAATCTTTTTTTTCTGTGCCACAATGCCCTCACTCATTACAGGATTGGTCCATCCAAAACTGAATGGGCAGCAATGCCCTTATTTTGCTTTCATCTCTCTCAGGGACCGCAGTGACAAGATCTCTGCCAGTGACTTTTTTTTAATTTTAAAGGTTCACCACCAGCTGTTGTGCATATGCATGAGATCTCTTTTATACTGTTTGATTGTACATGCATTTTATGTGATGAAGAATACAGTAGGACACGACATACAGGCAAGTACCTTGTCCATGTCCCTGAGAAAAAAAAATAAAAAGCATTGCTACCCAGCACAGTCCAACCATAACTAAACAGAAGCTAAGGGTATATTTGCCCTTTAAAGGAGAAGTATAGCCCCAGCTCTCTGCTCACAGAATGCTGAAAACTGAGAGATCTTTGATTGCGCAGTTCTCAATACAGAGCCACCTAGGCGAGTGTCATTTTTTTCTAAATCCTTAACTTCTCTTTTAAGCAGCTCAACCTATTTAGAAAAGTAGAATTACAGAGAGAGAATCTGGTGCATGGGTCAGCTGAAATCTAACCAGTGAAAGACACCTTTAAAATCATTCATTAGTCATAAAAAGGACCCTAAATTTTGCATGTTTGTTAATTTGCATTAGATACATAAAATAAATGTACAGATTACAAAAACGTTTGTTTTGGCGGTTGTTAGGAGGCCATATTAGCCACAACATTTATAATTCTGTCAATCCTTGTTTTTATTGCTATAAATTTGAAGGACAAATTGTGCTCCCCTCTCCCTTCCCCAAAGAAAGAACATCTTCTAATTTGTCAACATAAATCTTAACACTGTTTATCTCAAAAGATTGAAAGAAAAAAAAAAAAAAAAACCTACTCAAAATACTTAACAAGCAAAAAGAACATATTCATTGTCCTGAAGTGCCCAAAAAGACATGACCAAGACTAATAATAATAAGCTTTCATTCTGGTCAAACAGATGTTTCTAACCTAGAACAAAAACTGTCACAGTGTAATGTTTAACAAAAGGAAGCAAATGAAATGTACACAAAATACAGGGCACTCAGAGGTTGATGTAGCAGTTCTTGAGGAAGTGTTACAAGTTATCAGTTAAATTCAAGTAGTGCAGCATCTCAGCCTGTTTTTTTTCAGATGCAAATCCTTTAACCCATTTAGCTTTGATAGGAAACAAATATAAATATTGCTTCTTCTATTTCGAATTAGAACGAGTCATCAATATAAATCCGCGGTGGTCTTACCACTGCCACTCTTGGCCACTCATCCTCTGAAAATGAGCTGAGGCTGTCTGATTCAGAGTCTAGCTCACTAAAGCCATCCATCCAATCAGTACTCGACTCGCTGCGTACATCTTCCTCCTCGGTGATGAAGCTTTGCCCTGGCTCCAAGCAAGATGGGTACACACGGGCAGAAAGGGAAATGAAGCCTGTGTCATAATGAAGAAGACCTAACATGGTACCGATATTCACCCAGCGATCGTTAGTCACATCATACTCATGAACAGTCACGCGGTTCTTCTTCCACTGAACAATGGTGGTAGTAATAAGTAGAAGTTTGGAACCATGTCTTACAATCTGGTAATTGTTGGTATTACCCTCAGCTGGTATGGGGCTGATCCGCCGCCACTCTCCCCTGGCTGGATTGTAGGCCTTCACCATAGGAATGTCACATATGCAGTAGATTTCATCATTGAAGACACAGGCTTCCTGGAAGTCACATCGCTTTAAAGAGGCACAGTTGAGCCACTGGTTACAAGAAGGGTCATAGCACAACATTCTTTTGTTACTGATAGCATACAAATGGTCATTACAGGTCACCAGTTCAAAGGCATAAAAAGAATGAGGCACCGGAGCAACCAGCGCCCACTGATTCCTCTGCACACTGTAGCACTCCACATCTTTGATCTTGGCACCGGTAGATGGGTCACGTCCACCTACAATATAGACGTAACCATTGAGGTAAGCCACATCCATGCCTTCTCGGCACAGCAGCCTTTCTGCTAGGAGTTGCCAGCTGTTCTGGACAGGGCTATAAACCCAAAGCTGCTTCATAGGTTGAGTAGCCAAGTACAAGTCGTTCTCTGGAGAGACACATACGGCAGAAGACGTTACTGCTTTGCCATGTGCTAGGTTGGTGAGTGGAGAAGGCATGGTGTAAATGTCACCTGAATAAGGGTCATAGCACAAGAAGGGTTCCTTACGGTGACCAAAGAAGATGACCATTTCCTTGGCTATCATGCCAATTCTGCGGAGTGGACTGCTCTCCTGGCATGGCAGCACACAGGTGGCATGTTTATCCTCCTTGCCTGGTAGGATGTTGTCCAGATACTGCAAGCACTGTTTGCGCACCAATGGCTTGGATCTGAGGCTCTCCAGATACACCTGGTCCTTCTCTGTGAAGTGCTGCCAGCGGACACAGGCTAGGACCTCCTGCCACCCATCACCCACCTCCTTGGGATTGGCCTCAAGCCAGCGCAGGGCAGCGTTGCACACCACTCTTTCGCTGCAGACGTCCAGGTTGTCCATGCTCAGGACCGCTTTCAGCTGCGCCAAACTCAGCTCACATAGTTCGTCTCCAACGGCGAGCTGCTCGAAATGGCGCGCCATGAAGGCGAGAGAGCGCCCCCGAAGTTCAGGGTGATCAAAGGCATCTGCGAAGCGGAGGATGCTGGCACAGTTGTGGAGGTCGAGGCGGCGGGCGAGGTAGTTGGCGCAGGCTTGCCGCACGTATTCCAGTTGCAGCATATCGGCGGCGGCGTAGAGGCGCTGGACGTTGGCCTCGGTGACAGTGACTCGGCCTGTGTAGCAGTATTCAATGATCAGAGCCATGGACTCCGGGCTGACATCGTGCAGGGTGACCTCCTGCTGCTTGCTCTCATACAGACCCCCGGTGAACATGCTCTTGAAGTACGGGCAGGCCGCAGACAGCACATTGCGGTTACACAGGAAGCTGCGGCTGCTCTCCGGCTCCTCAGGGCCCCCTCCCAACACACGGAGGGTGACATCGCACAGCAGCTGAGAGTCATAGAACGATTTCAGCTGTGCTAGAAGCGACGAGGCGTGACCCGGGTCCTCCAGAACCTCCGGACCGGAGAACAAGCTCGATACCCCCAGACCAGACATGACACCGAGCGCCTCACTCGCAGCACTTCCTTCCTGCCGACGCCGGCCGCGTGACGTCAGAGCGCAGGTCACGAGGGGCATGGACGGAGTTAGCGGCCATTGGATGCGTGTGTCTGTGCTGGGGATTGCTCTGCTAAGGAAGCTCAGTCATATGGAGGATGTCACAAGGGAAACATGGAGGATGATACTGCTGAGCTTTCATTTCTAAAAAGCTACTTGTCTGCCTGTCATGCAGGCCCCTTGGCGTCCATACATTGAGTCACTGAGCTGGCGCAAGTATCCATGGGAGGACTACCATTCTTCAGCACCTGGCTCCAAGACAGCAAAAATAGAAGCCAGGAGTTTAGCATTTTACCCACTTGCCTGCCGGGCACTTTCACCCCCCTTCCTGCCCAGGCCAAATTTCAGCTTTCAGAGCTATTGCACTTTGACAATTGTGCAGTCATGCAACACTACCCATCTGGAAATGTTCCCATTTTTTGACATAGAGCTGTCTTTTGGTGGTATAAAATCACTGGGTTGGTTTATTTTTGCCAAACTTATGAAAAAAACACAGAAAAATGTAGGAAAAAAACCCCCAAAAACTTTTTCTTAGTTTCTGGTAATAATAATTTGCAAATACATAACCTTTATTCTTCACTGATGTGATTTGATGAGGCTGCATTGATGGGTGGTTATGAAGAGGCACTGATAAGGCAGCACTGATATCAGTTCACTGGTGATCAGTGCCCTCATACAGTATACAATTTTCTTGAGAATTTTTCTTCACATTTACCAAAAATCATATAATATGAGGTCAAGCCTAAACAACACTTTCAATTGTATCCAATTAGGCAGGCCCTTGCACTACAGATTTGAAGGTAAATCTAAAGGAAATTGGACAGAAAATTGTATAGTGTATGGCCAGCCTAAATGTCCCGTCACAGGAAAGTCAGTTTTTGGAAATGCTGATAACCGGCATTTGTTTACATGTGATTGGACACAGCTGATCACATGGTAAAGAGCCAATGTCATTGGCTTTTTACCCTGCTCAGTGATGCACTATGTCCGAGGGACACTGCTTACCACTGATCGCCATGCTGTGTGGCCCTGGGAGCGCACACAAGTGGTGTGACCTGGGAGGACTTCATATAACATCCACACCGAGGGACGAAAGGCCCTCCTGGCTATCAATCTGCTCTAGGCTGGGGCAGGAACTGGTTAAGTTGAACAGCAATAACAGCTCTGTATTTTGGTCATGGAGTCATTTTTAAGCTGTCAAAAGTAGAATTATAGGCAAAACTTTTTTTCCATTTTTGTGATAGAGGCAGAAAGGGTTATAACACCTGTCAGTTTATTTTTTTGCCATCTATATCCCATTGGGGAGATTTTCCATCACTTCCTGTCCCATAACCAAACAGGACTTTGAGGAAATACTTGCAAATTAAGGAAATTTCTTGGGGCTCCCAGGTCACCAGATCTAGTGTCCCCATTGGAAGAGTTCCCTTCTTACTTTTCTGGTGACAACCCAAAATTTGGGATTTTCTTTTACTTTAAGTTTCAGCAATAATGGCAAACAGGACTAATAAAGGGTGAATCTCCCCAACTTGAACACAGACAGCAGTAAAAACTGACAGGTGTCCCAATCCCTCTCCACTCTATCCAAAACTAAAATAAAAAAAAAAAAAAAAAAAAAGTTTTGCCTTTAGTTGTACTTGAAGCCTGGGACGGTCATTCTTATGCTGCCTGAACTTCCCAAAGCAGAACTAAACTCCTAAAAATACCTCCCCCTTCCAGAGGTGTGAAAGTTAGATCCCTCACAGCAGCTGTCACCTTCTCTGTGGGCTACCGGCGGGTGCTAGGTTTGGCGTCTTGATTGGTCGTCGGGAGATGATATCATCCCTCATTAGTGCTGGATGATCAAATAGGCAGAGTAGGTACCGGCCTATGAGCCCCAGGCCCTTTAAGAGGCCCAAGACAACGGATCAAAATAATATTGATTTAATCTTGAAAGAAAATTACAATTACGCTTTCCAAAATTGTTTACAAAAGAAAAAAATATATCAACTCAAAGACATAAAAACTTTACATTAACCATTTCCTGCCTGCCCACAGTACATTTACATCAGGATCAATTTGCAAATATATAGATGTGAAGGAGGGGTGGGTGGAACAGAACACACGCGGAGAACAGTGGGACACACAAGGCTTTTACTGAGTGGTTTGGAGGGCACATGATGAGTATAGCAAGGTTCTGGCAAAACAAAAGTCAAGCCCGTAGCACCGTCTGGGCCCACAACAGGGAGGCAGACTCTGGCAGGCAATGGGTTAAGTCTGAGTGGCACACAACAGGGCGGCAGACTGGCAGGCAATGGGTTAAGTCTGACTGGTACACAACAGGGTGGCAGTCTCTGGCAGGCAATGAGTTAAGTCCAAGTGGCACACAACAGGGCGGCAGACTGGCAGGCAATGGGTTAAGTCTGAGTGGCACACAACAGGGTGGCTGTCTCTGGCAGGCAATGGGTTAAGTCCGAGTGGCACACAACAGGGAGGCAGAACTCTTGCAGGCAATGGGTTAAGCCCAGGTTGGATCCTCAGTGCAGGGGGTGGCACACAGCAAGGAAGCAGAGCAGAGAGGGTTAAGTCTTTGGCACAGGGTAGCAATTCAGGGACTCACCAGCCAGCAGTGGCCCCAGTAGAGGAAGTCTAGGCAGATAGACATCAACTCCTCACGGGTCTTCAGAGGGCTGTGTGTCCTGGCTGCAGCTTCAAGACCACACAGGCAATGTAGAACCACAAGTCCCAGCAGTGCACAAAGCAAAGCACAGTTCAATGCATCTCCAAGCGAGGCCTGCAGCCATGAGCTGTTCTGTCCATTCTGACTCAAACTCTGCCAATTGTCCCCCCCCATAGGGACATTATAGGGTCCTTTCAATTTGACCAAGCCTCAAGCCCCCCTGCGACACTTCTGGCTTTTCACAGCCACAGGACACCATGCTATCTGTGCTCCCTGCTGAGATCAACCTCATCTCCCACCCCTGCGGGGCATAGGAACTCCCAGAGGCATGATGGGACTTTAGTTCTCCCTCCTAGATTGTAAGCTCGAAAGAGCAGGGCCCTTGAACCCCTCGTGTGTCGCATTGTATTGTTACTGTACTGTCGCATGTTCTGTCCCCCTTTGTAATGTACAGCGCTGAGTGAACTGTTGGCGCTTTATAAATACTGTATAATAATAATAGTTTCGCAACAGCTGGAAGGCCACCAGTTTGACACCCCTGAAGTAAGCAGTCAAGCCGACTGACACACTTGTTGATTTCAACAAACAACACAGAATTAAAATAATATTTTGGCTCTCCATTACAATATATCATAGTTTGTAGATGCTATAACTTCACACCAATATACACTTATTGGGATTTTTTTTATCAAAGACGTAGCAGAATACACTGGCCTAAATTTATGAAGAAATTTGATTTTATTGAATATGTTTTTTTAACATGTTTTCTAACAGAAAGTAGAAAATATTGGGGTTTTTATTCAAAAAAGTTTTTTATTTAGCAAAAAAGAAAAAACCCAGTGGTGATATACCACCAAAAAGAAGCTCTATTTGTGTGAAAAAAAAAAAGATATAGATCTCATTTGTGTACAGTGTTGCATTACCGAGCCTTTGCCAGTTAAAGTAGCGCAGTACTGAATAGCAAAAAAAATGGTCTGGTCATGAAGGGGGTAACTCCCTCTGGAGTGGTTCAAGACTCTATAGAGAAAATACTATATTCGTGTAATGTACTCAACTATTTAATATACGTAAACCATAGACATCAGATTCACATTACAGTCGTTCTCTTAACCGCTTTCCCGCTGCCCTATAGTAGAACTACTGCTACAGGCCGGCAGGGCTGTGCAAAATCACGTATATATACAGTGGGGCAAAAAAGTATTTAGTCAGCCACCAATTGTGCAAGTTTTCCCACTTAAAAAGATGAGAGAGGCCTGTAATTGGCATCATAGGTGGACCTCAACTATGAGAGACAAAATGAGAAAAAAAATCCAGACAATCAGATTGGCTGATTTGGAAAGAATTTATTTGCAAATTATGGTGGAAAATAAGTATTTGGTCACCTACAAACAAGCAAGATTTCTGGCTCTCACAGACCTGTACCTTCTTCTTTGAGAGGCTCCTCTGTCCTGCACTCATTGCCTGTATCAATGGCACCTGTTTGAACTTGTTATCAGTATAAAAGACACCTGTCCACAACCTCAAACAGTCACACTCCAAACTCCACTATGGTGAAGATCAAAGAGCTGTCGAAGGACACCAGAAACAAAATTGTAGACCTGCACCAGGCTGGGAAGACTGAATCTGCAATAGGCAAGCAGCTTGGTGTGAACAAATCAACTGTGGGAGCAATTAGAAAATGGAAGACATACAAGACCACTGATAATCTCACTCGATCTGGGCTCCACGCAAGATCTCACCCCGTGGGGTCAAAATGATCACAAGAACGGTGAGCAAAAATCCCAGGACCACACTGGGGGACCAAGTGAATGACCTGCAGAGAGCTGGGACCAACGTAACAAAGGCTACCATCAGTAACACACTACGCTGCCAGGGACTCAGATCCTGCAGTGCCAGACGTGTCCCCCTGCTTAAGCCAGTACATGCCCGGGCCCGTCTGAAGTTTGCTAGAGAGCATTTGGATGATCCAGAAGAGGATTGGGAGAATGTCATATGGTCAGATGAAACCAAAATAGAACTGGTAGAAACACAACTCATCGTGTTTGGAGGAGAGAGAATGCTGAGTTGCATCCAAAGAACACCATACCTACTGTGAAGCATGGGGGTGGCAACATCATGCTTTGGGGCTGTTTCTCCGCAATGGGACCAGGACGACTGATCCATGTACAGGACAGAATGAATGGGGCCATGTATCGTGAGATTTTGAGTGCAAACCTCCTTCCATCAGCAAGGGCACTGAAGATGAATCGTGGCTGGGTCTTCCAACATGACAATGATCCCAAAC